GTTTTAGACGAAGCTGGAAGCATCTTTTAAAAATACTCCATTGCAATGAAAATTCAGTGTAAGTCAGCTGAGCTTTATCCTACTTATACCTGCTATCTTAAAAATGCTAGGATTTCTGATACAACACAGCAAGTTCACATTATTTTAATGAGATATTACTAGATATGGATAAGTTTTTACATCATTGTAAGGAGAGTAACAAAGAACATTTTTCCACAAAACTACCATTGCATCAGATATTAGAGTTTACATGAACATCCCACAGAAGAACTTGCTGGTTTTGCAATGGTTTGCCACACACCCCTGTGGTGACACTGCTTTAACACGAGATTACATCGCATATAGCCCTGAATTAAAAAATCCCAATGGTGCCTTAACGCAGTATGCACTGCGTTAATTGTTGAATGTGTTTTGTACTGGCACAAATGACGTGCTACTCTACCACATCTCATTTACTGTTTGCCACTGTTTATAAAGAAGTGGCTGCTTCTTTCCATAGAATAACTAATGGTAAAAGAACTAGGCAAATATTTACAAAGGTAATTCAGTGCGAAACACTGCATCTAAAAGCTAATACATTTTGTTTGGATAGTGCTTTTCTTCCTTTATAGAGCTCTTTGATTTGTCAATATGCAAAACAAAGTAAGTCTGTCAGGAAACTGCATTTGTTATCAGCTCCTTCTCCTTAGATGGCAGGACTGTAAATATTTTTCTTCATTATCACTCTGACAGTAAATAACTTTGCAGGTGTGATTTATCAATAGGAATGCCAAGATTTCACAATTTTTGGCCTACCTTAAAGAAAATGAATAACAGAGAAACCCAAGCACCAGGAAACAAATGAGCAGAACTAGTGAACTAAGATCTATCGAAAGCAGGGTTCAAGATCACTTGGCTTGGATGACAGTGATATATTTGCACTACAGTTCATCAGTTTTCTTATCTGGGAAAGTGTTCTATAATAAATAATAATTTATTGCATATTTTGCAACCTTGTCAAAGGGCACACCTAAGATTTTTGCTTCAGTAGTAAATTCCAGCCAACTGTGTACAGGAATTCATTTGACAATCTGGACACAGCCAAAATATTTCAGTATTTTCTAATGTCAGCACTTTTGATCTAGTACCAACAACCCAACTCCTCATCTGGTTCACAGAAAAACCACATTTACTTCTTCTAAATTTAATTATGCTTCAAAACCATCAGAAGATTTCAAAGTAATTCTCCAATGACAATCACTAGTGAGCAAAAAACCCCAAGACTGTCAGACAGGTACCCCTATTCCCAACCCGTAACTTCTCGTTCTCTCTTTTCACTTGCTTTTTGCCCCTTTGGGAGTGTTTCTGTCTGCTTACGAATAAAGCAACACAATGTTGTGATCAACCTCAGCAATACTTCTTGGTGTATCCAGCTAAATTGCTTGTGAGGCTGGTCATATGCTCCTGCCTATTATCTGTAAAAAAGACAGCAGAAACAAATCTTCAGAACAGCCTACAAACACAGCTAGGCCTTCCATATTATTACAAACAGCAAACAACTGACAAACTCCATTGATTTGTAAGTAAATTTTTATGAAGATGAATGGTTATTGCCAAGGTGCTTCAAATTTTTCTGAGACATTTTTATTTATTTATTAGTGATTAATCGAAAATAGGTAGAGAATAACCAAATCATTACAGCTTTAAGTTCAGCATTGTAAGACTCACCATTTGTATGCGGTATCACATCTTAAAATTGCACCTCAGTATGCCAGTAAGTGTTTCTAGAATTAGTGGTGTTGTGCCTGTTTTCCTTCCTAAAACCACTGTTCACGGTGAAAGGGAATTAATTTTATGATATAAGCAGAGAGTTTCCAAATATAATTGCTGCTTTGCTATGAAGTTCACCATCTACATCTACTTTGAATATACCTGGACAGATGCTTGACACAGGTCTGTTTATTTTCCTCATAGGAAACTCTTCTAAACATAATGAACAAACCACTGCCTTTAAAATACTTTAACCACCGTAATTCTCTGCCAACAAATGCTATGTCTGTTCGCAACTAGTTAGAAGAAAAGCTTAAATCCCCAGCAGTATGACTTGAAGAGAATTGCTTACTGTTGTGTTAATGCTACTGGCCAAAGAAGCCACAACAACAATGGTTAAAAGGTTAGGAGCATTAGATTCAAGTATTAACATTTTTCTATGAATTGTCTATCATGCTATTGTCGTAAGCCTGATCTCAATTTGAAATGCTAAATATGCCTTAGTGCAAAGATTTTTTTTTTGTTCACGTTTTTTCTTGTCATTATTTTTTCTTTTCTGTTTAACGCTGTTCGCTACTCATATTAGCAAAGTAACTGAAATTAACTTGGCTGCATTACAAATATATCTTACTCGCATACCACTTCATTAAAAATCTGCACATGTACTATTATAGTTGGAGTAACCAATTAATATGTATGAACTGCTAAGACTGAAAAACACTTATTTCTCTAACCTTGCTTTCACAGACAACTAACTGTCTGAAACCCACACCTTCAAAACTGAAAATTTCAGTATTCACTGTCTTTCAATGTTTTAGGCTGGAGAACTCAAAATAAAATCCCTTCCAAGTTTTTAACTTCATGACAGAATCACAGAATGTTCGGGGTTGGAAGGGACCTCTGTGGGTCATCTAGTCCAACCCCCCTGCC